TATTATATCACCCAACCCTAATAGACATAATGGTAAAGTGTAGGTAAGGTGCAAAAAAATAGATTCTGGCACATCATCACACATTAGCATTATCATACTTTAATACTTCTCAGGGATGAGAAAGATACTTTGTTTGCTGTCCTATATACTCTACAAGACTGTACATTGTAACATGTAGAAGTTACACTCTAAGGTGCTAATCCCTGCTCATCTGTCTGTACAAAAAACAAGATCTGCTATAAAAATTCAACATGACAAAGACAGTGAAAACCAATGAGTTTAATTAAAAATGTAATAACCTTAAAAAAGACTTTTTATGACAACCTGAGAGTATTTATAATTCATGAGAGGAAGAAAAAAAAGACTAGTAAGAACAGTGAGATTTTTAAAGTGGGGAAAATAGAAACAAAACAAAAAATATGCCCACCGTTGGGTGAGAATTTTAAAAACAAGTAACAATATTATCTACCAAAACTTTAATTAAATTTTTTTTAAATTGTGTCTCGCATTTTCTTCCTTATCCGAAGGACATCAGTCTGAAATAGTTTAACGGAGTTGCATTGAGAACTCCTCTTCGAAGAGCAGCAAAAATATTTATTTAGTTTTTTTATTTAAGGAAACAACAACAGTACTTGGTTTGAACATGTAGATAGGAGCATGTGCCTGATTTACAAGGACTACAAATATAAGTAATTATTTTAAAATCGAAAGCAAGAATTTTAGAAAACACGTGCACATGCTGAGTTAGCACTGAGTCAATTCAGTCCACACTAAATAAAATGTGTTTAAAAGAATTTGTGAGCTGATAGTGAGACATAAAAACAACATATAAAAAATCTGATTTATGTACCTATAAATCCAGTTTTAAAAAAATTTGTTCCGCCCAGTGCAAACATACGTATATTATCTTTGCTGCTATATTGATTATTTGGCCAGTCAAGAGTACAATTATTTATGTTGGCACAACCAAATGAGAATAGTTTTGATTTTACTACAGAAACACTTTGTGATACTTTTACCTGCAGTACAGGAGGCCTCTGCAGTGTGGTGGTGGCTGTGATCGTGGTCTGGGCACAAGAACCCTGTTTGATGATGGTGGTGGGAGTTACAGGACGACCCAGCAGGGGTGCACCTGGGGTCTGCAGAACAGTTGTGGAGACAAAAGAAAGAGCAAAAATAATTATGATACTTTGATCTAAATCACAGAGTTGGGTGGTATTTTTAACAACGTTATAAATGAGAAAAACAATCAAAATGTGTATATATATATATAT